TGGATTTATAATCTTTCAATCAAAACTGGGATATATGTTGATGAATGGAAAAAGGCGTGGGTAACGCCAATTTTTAAATCTGATGATAGACAAAGATGTGAAAATTACCGACCGATATCTATATTGCCTATTGTCAGTAAAATACTAGAGAGATCGGTTTTCAACCAGATTTATAAGTTTTTGAATGATAATTCGCTGCTATCTAAACATCAATCTGGCTTTTGGCCTAAGCATTCAACTTTAACAACACTCATTCAAATGTGTGACACACGTTATGAGAAAATGGATAATGGTCAGCTGAGTGGTGTTGTTTTCCTTGATATTAGAAAAGCTTTTGATTCTATTGATCATACAATCTTATTGCAAAAGATGAATGATCAATTTGGAATAAAAAATGTGGAACTGGATTGGTTTAAGTCCTATCTAACTAATAGAGAGCAAGCATGCATTGTCAACGGTGCAATGTCATCACCTAAAACGATTGTGTGCGGAGTTCCGCAGGGATCAATTCTTGGTCCCTTGCTGTTTTTATTATATATTAATGATTTCCCCGAATGCCTCGAAAAAACTTCGCCACACCTATACGCTGATGATACTCAAATTTCTACTTCTGCCAAAACTATTGAGGAACTTACTGAAAATCTAAATAATGACCTGAAAAAAGTCGGTGAGTGGCTTGCTCGAAATAAACTGCAACACCACCCAACTAAGACCAAATTAATGTATATCGGTTCAAAGTGTAATACTGATACTATGACTTATGATATTCCAGTAATGATGAATAACCAATTCATAACTCTTGCTCATTCATACACATGCCTTGGGGTTAAACTTGATGAAAACCTAAATTGGCATGAGCATGTTGAAATGATTTGTAAGAAAGTTGGGGCCGGCATAGGAGCAATGCAACGAATTAAGCCATATGTTCCTATAAATACCCTGCATCCATTTACAGAGCTTTGATAGAACCGTATTTTGATTATTGTAGTCCATTATGGGACGTCTGTAACCAACAGCTGAAAGATAAGCTTCAAAAGTTCCAAAACCGTGCAGCGAGAATTATAACCGGCGCCAGCTATGAAATAAGGTCTGCTGATGTTCTTCGATCCCTTGCTTGGGAAAATTTAGAGATAAGACAACGTGCAACTAAATCCACATTAATGTATAAAGTCCTGAATGATTGCGCTGGGCCGAACTTGAAGGATGCTCTAACGAGAAGGGACCTTGTTCAAACCAGTTATAATCTTCGCAATACTTATACTGACCTTACCCTTGCTAAGCCAAACGAGAATTTCTAAAAAAAGCTTTAAGTATAGCGGAGCTAAATTGTGGAATAGTCTTCCTTCTGATGCGAAGCTAGCGCAATCAATTTATTCTTTTAAAAACTGCCTGAAAGTTTCACGCTAACATCCTCTAATATACTGTATATGCATGCTTTAGAAATATGGGTCACACCGTTTGGAACTTAATTCTTGTATTGTAAATAGTTGTATATAATTCTTTATTCTTTTCTATATCATATTTGTAATTTTTGATAGTAACAGACGTCCCTCGTGAAAATCAACAAATCGTTGACGAGGCTAACGTCTTTAAATAAAGTTTACATACATACATACATTATGGCTAAACGCAGTAGTTTTCGCGTACAACACTAGTGGACAAGAATCACAACAAACCTCTCCATTTGAAATAGTTTTTGGACGTATTCCAAGATTACCGTTAGAATTAGAATTAGGACTCCCACTGAAAGATCCAAGTACGCAATCAGAGTACACTCAGTCGCTTAGGAATATATTTAAGGAGGTGAGGGAGGTAGCATATCACATATAGAAGCATGGCGGACGGACGCTTATTTGTGCGCTCTGACGCCGAATTAAGCGATGTTGAAGAGAATACAACAAGAAATGTAGAATCTAAGCGAGCAAATAACATCAATGTCGTTAAGTATCTTATTATTACTGAAAAAGGAAAACTCAGATGGACAGGTTCTTTCGAGAATCTCGAAATACTGATGAACGAGTTGCTCGAGTCACAGACAAAATGGTCATCGCCTGGTGGTCATTGTAAGCTCCTAGAGATGGACAACTTCGAAATGCGGTGGTATTCAAACAATTACTCTTTAATTATTAAAGGGGAGCAAGAGTAAGTCGAAGAAATAAACTCTTGGTTGCGAATAATGGCCAACCTAGCTGATAAAGAAACCGAGTTATCAAACGCTTTTGTCAGTGAAGGAAATGGCGACAGGGAGGGAGACGGCGTGAATACAGCCTTTGACCAAAAACAGTCATATCAAAATAAATTCACATGAGACATCGAACTACAACAAAGTACTCGACAGTATACGAGACCTTAAACTGTGTTTTGTAAACAAATTCGATGAGCTTTTGCAGGAAATTCGACAGTCCAAAACAACAGAAGAAACTATCAGTGAAGACCGAAATTCCCTAATTAAAGCAAATGGCAAACTGAAGCAAGAAATCGACATACTATCGGACCAAGTCAATAACTATAAGTGTATTGCATCGGACTTACACACGAAAGTTAAACAACTGGAAGATGAACAGAAAAGTTTAATAACAGCCATAGGCGTACGGGGCCGCTAAATTCTGGGGGGCGGTAGCTTTTTTGCCCAAAAAATTCCACATTGCCCAAAAAATGTCAATATATTTATACAACTAATTAAATAGACAATTCTACTGTTCTAAAATATATATTGCGCTCGCTCACGATCAACGAATGTCGCGAACGATGAATACTTCAAAAAAAGTAGCTGTTTCTTCCCTTTCTGCTGCCAAATATGTCAATAATGCGGTCAATCTCATTATTCATCACAGCGTTTGCATAGGCCCTCTCTATGTTAATCAGTGCGATGCTGTTCACCCGCGTTTGACTCATCGTATTGCGGAGGTATGTTTTCAATCGGCGAAGGGCACTGAATGAACGTTCTGCGGAACATGATTTGGCTGGTATGACTGCAAGTATTATCATTACTTGAGTAAACTGTGGAAGCATTTCAAATAAGTTGCATGAATCCAAGAACTTTTGAAAGTTTCTTTCCTTGGGGTAATCCACGCTTAAGACAAAACGTGGTGAACATTTTCTGTTCTACCTGTAGAATCTCTTCATCCATACCATAAAATTCAGCAACTGTGGTGAAGCTCTCCATTTTGGGGGTTTCACTTTGGCAGACATCACCAAGGGCGTAAAGTATTTGCTGATCAGTTCCGCTGAATCGCACTTCAAGCTCGGAAAGTATTTTGTCGATAGACAGGTAATATGTGTTGATTCTGTGATGAGATTCTGGTGTCACCTGAATGCGATTTCCGGGTGATTCACCCACAAGGCCTGTAGGCGTCGCAATGTCTTATGGCGTGGTACTGTTGCCTCTCGTACCTTAAACAACGAATTTCCCAACCAAGACTTCATCTTTAGACCCATTAATGATGCCATTTGCCAAACAAGGTTAAAATTTTGCTCACTTCTGCAACGACGTAGTGTCTCTATGGTCGTGCTGGATATTCTTCGCGCTGACAGAACATCAACTTCTTTTCCTTCAAGATACTGACTCAAACTATTTGTATTTCTTAGAATTATTCTGAGCACACATAAACCAAATATGAAATCCATGTCGCACAAAGATGTTAATAATGATCTGCTGTCCCTGTAAGTCTTAGGATCTTTATCTGAAGACAATTTGAGAAGCGTTTTAACAATTCTCTCCATTTGGTTATAGACAGCTTTTACCGCTTCCCAGTGACAGGACCATCGCGTAACACTTAATGATTTTAGTGTTTGTTTGTACTTTTCATCCTCAACTTCAATGTCACTAAATAACGCGTGACGCTTAGGGCTTCCTTCAATGAAATTGTGGATGGCCTGGATGTTGCCCAAGGCATTACGCTATGGCTCCACTTCTGTCATGGTATCCTGAAGGGCTAGGTTGAGAAGATGTCCGTAACAATGGACGTATATGCTCTGAGGGGAGCATTCTTTCATTCTAGTCGAGAGTCCTTTATGAATACCATTCATATTTGCAGCACCGTCAAATGCTTTACCAACTATATTCTTCAAATCTAAGTTTAGTTTGGTAATAGTGTCTTTCACAAGTTCATATAAAACCTCGCCTTCAGTTGACTTGGTCGCATAGAATCCCATGAATGCTTCCTTCTTTATTCCATTTATGCAATAACTCAGACAGAGTGAAACTTGCTCAATTTTGCTGATGTCCGACGTTTCATCTATAATGATACTATACCATCCACTAGATTTAACGTCGTTGACAATGCGCTCTTTCACAAGATCAGCAGTAATTTCGAGTAATTCATTTTGTATGGCGGGCGATGTCCACTGCGCATGTTTTTTAAGCTGTTGATCTAGTTTAGAACCAAGCCAAGGTATGTCCCTACACCTCAAACTAATATGTTCTAAAAAGTTTCCACGGTTAACATCGCTGCTTTTATCTAGGTTAACTCGCTCTTCTTCGTGTCCACGTTGTGCAACGTTTTGTTGCGCTGTGTACATAAGACTCTCAATGAGTACTCTAAGGTAGGCCCTATTTTCTTTCACGGACTGCTTATGATCTTCGTGTAGTTGGCTTAGTACTGAGGAATTATGCTTCTTGTTTGCTCTACTGGACATCCACATTTCCATGGCCGTTTGATGCTTCTCGCTCTTATGATGTTTTGCTAACCGTTCCGGCTTTTTCCAGTTGTCAAATGAAAAGGAATCTTTTCCCTTCATGTACATCTGGCAAGGAAAGCAGTTCGCTTTCTTACTACTGACGTCGTATGAGAGCCAGGGATGTCGCTTATACCATTCAGGATTGAAATCTCTAGTAAACGATTCGTTTCCCATTTTCTTGGGGTCGTAACTCTTCAGTAGCGGCTGCTGTGGTCCTTTCATCTGCAGGCACGATTTCTCCGAATTACAGTCTTTTAGGTCTGGTGCATGCACGCGTATAGTGTCGAAATTGTCGTCAAAGCTTTGGGAATCATCTAAAGTAAGAAATAATGAATGTAAAAGTAATAATCATTTCGGATTTTCTCGTAGCAACGAGAATCAACGACAACAAGGGGTTTTAAGGACTTTAAAGAAAGTTAATGGTTTTCTTTCCATCACTGCACATCTGTACCTGCGTTGTAGCTTACACATTACGCTTGAAACGGTTTCATTGACACATTTTAAAGTAGTTTGACAATCATTTTCACTTCCCTCGGCCTCATTGTCCACTCTATCTGTATCGCCATCGCTTTTCTTTGTTTTGGGCGTAATGGCCACTGTCTCGCCAGCAGTAGCAAAACAAAGTTTAGCTTGCTTAGCATCAACTGCAACGGTGAATTTTACCTTCTTTCCCTTGTGTTTAGTTTTGGCGTGGACATCCTGATATTCGGCCACAATTTCTTTTTGGCAAACTGAGCAGACCACACGATAACGATAGGCATGTTTTCGCTTAACGGGTTTCTGTTCGGACATTTGTCACATTATCATGATCAAGTTCAGTTTGTTGTTATCAATCGAAGCCGTTAAATTTTATTACACCCATTAAGTAACCATTTTAAGTCTCTTGCATCCCAAATTTAAATTTGCAAAAAAATGGAGTAAACTTGCTACCAAAAACGCCACAAGCTACATACAGCGACCGCTGGCTCAATGACCGCGACGTGTTTATTTTTGATTGCCGCTAAAATAGGCACAAAAAGCATGATCTCATTTTATCTCGATATTTTTGACAATGTTTGTACTTCCGAATTTTCAATATGGCCGCCATGAGTGGCCGATGACAGTGAGCGAAGTTTTCTGACAATGGTTTTGATTCAGTAACCAGTGATCGACTAGATCGACTGATCGATTGTGCAATAAACCAAAGATAGGAGAATGCAAGTTATCGTCGATTAATAAATTTTATACAATAACAAAAATAAGTCAAGCCACAAACGCTTGCCCAAAAAATCGACCTTTCCCAAACTTGGGGGGGGGCTGCCGCCCTCCCCGCCCCCCCTTCCCGTACGCCTATGTGCCGGACTCTCCACTTAACAAATAAAATTGTCTGTCATTAGACATATAGTAAAACATAATGATTTGGCATTTGACAGAGTAAAGTTGTCTTGCGTTAGACAGAGTAAAATAAAAATTTGGTGCAAAAATGCTTGATGGAAATTTGGCTGCAGAATATAGGGTATAAATTTTCTGTCAGTATAATCATTTTTGTCAAATCTCGCAATTTTTATTTAATCTTGACATTTGAATTATTTCATCCTGCAGATGATAGAAGTTGTAGAAGGATCTGGCATGTTCTGGAATTGCCACCAGTGGGCATATTGCTCTGCAAGATTTTCTAATGAAGGCCCTTACACCAAGTCAGGTGATACAAAAAATAAACATGAAAAGTGTAGAAGCCAGGCATCCACAAAGAGTTTGAATAGTCTGTAGTCAAGCCCACAAGTTGAGAGGACTGAGGACATTATTGATACCGATACATTTATATAGATCAATAAGCACTTAGCAATTGACATTATTGCATGTTTGTATATATAGTTTTATTATATACACAAGATCTGGATATGAGGTATTCTGCAATCTGATTGGTTCTCTACTAGCAGGGTATTAGCTCATATCCTGCTAGTAGAGAAAAACAAAATGGCGGCCAAACTGAATTTATGATGTTTTGCAAACGAGAAAATGGCAAGTTGTCGCTTTTTATAGCCATTACAGGATTAAAAACACAATGAAAAAACTCCCACAAATTGTTTTCAGGTTAGCAAATAAATGTTTAAAATTTAAAATGGTTAAAAATATATATTTTTGAAAAAATAATCGGCTGAAAGAGCGAAGATAAAAACATAAACAAAATAGAAAAATATTGAAAATATTCGAAAAGCAAAGTCTGAATTCAGACCTTGTGTATATAATAAAACAGTTATTCCACTCACTCTCGTCGAATATGAGCGATAGCCGATTCGGCGCTACGCGCCTCATCGGCTATCAGCTCATATTCGACTCAAGTTCGTAGAATAACTGTTAAATACCGTGGTAATTTAGTTAGACAAACTTTGCAAGTTCATTAAGAAATAGTAAATTAGTTAACAATTTTGTAATTTTTTTATTTATTAACTATGTTATTTATTTGTGTATTGTGTTTTTGAAGATTTTTTGCATGTTAATAAAACTATGTATGCCACCAGCTGTGGCAAGTATATTTGGAATGGTATGGCCACTTGTTTTCATCCCATACCAAACCCACATGTGTTAGCATCTAGCATTTGGATGTTAGATGTTAACATGGGTTTGGTATGGGATGAAAACATGTGCCCATACCATTCCCAATATAATATGATAATTGTTGCACCCATACCATTGCCATAGTTTATACATCAAGAACCATATGAATTCCATATCATGTTCCCAGATCATTCCCATATAGAATCCTATCTTACCCATAGCAAAGTTGTTATGAAATGATACAAGGAACCCATGTATTTTCCATAGTAAGTCATATGGGATATGTATGGATTTGTACCAAATACGTATCAAACCCATATCAAAAACATGATATGGGTATGCTATGAAGGCAACCAGACCATACCAAAGCCATATACCTCCCATA